AAATTAGCCGGGTGTGGTAGCGCGCGCCTGTAGTTCCAGCTACTTGGAAGGCTGAAATGGGAGGATCACCTGAGCCCAGCATGTCAAGGATGCGGTGGCCGGGAGCATGCCACTGCACTTCAGTCTGGGTGACAGAGTGAGACTCCAACTCAAAAAAAAAAGTACATGGGCCAGAGTTCTTCCTACCACCTGTCCATTTTACCACCCTGAGCATTCTTCCAAGTACATCTTCAGTCAAGTCCACATCCTTCCACACTGCCCTGACAGCTAGTGAGTCAGTCACTGCAGATCCTGCATGGGATGCTGTGGAGCATCCTCCTGAAACCAAAGACACAGCACAAAGTCTTGTGTAACAGCTGAGGTGCCTGCATTCCCATGAAAAAGGTGACCTTAGGACACTTACTGAACAGCTTTATGGGAAACCCAAATCAATATGAACAAACCAAGTCTATGAGTGCTGAGACAGAACATGGAGTCAGGTGGGGTACTTCAGAGAAGTCCTTCTAGAGAACACAAATATTTAACCCAGGTTTGGCGGGAAGGGAAAGTCACGGATTGGTTGGGAGGATGGGAGACGGTGTCTCTAAGAGAAGGGAGAGTCTCTAAGCCCAGAAGAGCATGTTTTGCTCTGGAGGCTAGATTGCAGATTAGCTTGGCTCCAGCAGAGGCACTGAGCAGGGGAGCTCTGGACAGGAACTAAATCGACCTGCCTTGACGCATCTCTGGTCTCCACCTTCAGATGTGTCACCGGTGGTGGCCGGCCTCATCGGGGCCTCTGTGCTGGTGGTATGTGTCTCGGTGACCGTCTTTGTCTGGTCATGCTGCCACCAGCAGGCAGAGAAGAAGCACAAGACCCCACCATACAAGTTTATTCACATGCTCAAAGGCATCAGCATATACCCAGAGACCCTCAGCAACAAGAAGAAAATCATCAAGGTGCGGAGAGACAAAGATGGCCCTGGGAGGGAAGGTGGGCGTGGGAACCTGTTGGTAGACGCAGCAGAGGCTGGCCTGCTGAACCGAGACAAGGGTCCCAGGGTACCTAGTTCCGGATCTTGTATAGACCAATTACCCATCAAAATGGACTATGGGGAAGAACTGAGGAGCCCCATTACAAGCCTGACCCCTGGGGAGAGCAAAACCACCTCTCCATCATCTCCAGAGGAGGACGTCATGCTAGGATCCCTCACCTTCTCGGTGGACTATAACTTCCCGAAAAAAGCCCTGGTGGTCACGATCCAGGAGGCCCATGGGCTGCCAGTGATGGATGACCAGACCCAGGGATCTGACCCTTACATCAAAATGACCATCCTTCCTGACAAGCGGCATCGGGTGAAGACCAGAGTGCTGCGGAAGACACTGGACCCTGTGTTTGACGAGACCTTCACCTTCTATGGCATCCCATACAGCCAGCTGCAGGACCTGGTGCTGCATTTCCTCGTCCTCAGCTTTGACCGCTTCTCTCGGGATGACGTCATCGGTGAGGTCATGGTGCCATTGGCAGGGGTGGACCCCAGCACAGGCAAGGTACAGCTGACCAGGGACATCATCAAGAGGAACATCCAGGTGAGTAGGAAGAGTGTGTTGGGGCTGGAAAGTAGAATGGGGGAGATGAGTTCTCAGGGGAGAGATGGGAGGGGAAGGAGGGTGGGCTGGTGATGAAGAGGGGCTGTGGAGAGAAAGCTTTTGGTTATCAAGGACAAACAGTGGCCAAAGTAAGACAGAGGGGCTGGCCAATTAGGTCTCCTCTGGAAAGCGACATTTTGAGGAGAGAAGGTCATATAGCTTCCAAAATGTCACCGAGTGATCAGCGTCCTGCAGTTGTCCCGCACGTCCAGACCCTCCATCACATCAGGTATAGGGGGTAAATTTCCTCTCCAAAATGGTGTGTGATCTTCCTCTGGTAAATTTCTGTCTCACAGCTGAGAAACTACTTAAATAATACCATGTATATGTCTTTTTAGAACTACTTTATAATGCAATTTAATGAATTGCCTCAGCCTTCCAAGCCTAAACTTTTGCCATATATTCTTCTCTCTCCACTACTCCTCTCCTCCCTCTTTGCATTAAAGGGGGATGGTTTTTTCCCCGAATATAGACCTTGAAAAAATTTTTTTAAAAAAGGTCAGGTGCAGTGGCTCACTCCTGTAATCCCAGCACTCCAAGAGGCAGAAGCAAGAGAGTTGCCTGAGCCCAGAGGTTTGAGACCAGCCTGGGCAACTTGGCAAGACCTCATCTCTACACTATATAAAAATAAGCTGAGTGTAGTGGTGCATGCCTATAGTTTCAGCTACTCAGGAGGGAAGCTGGAGTGGAAGGATCACTTGAGCCTAGGGAGTCAAGGCTGTGGTGAGTCGAGATCATGCCACTGCACTCCAGCCTGGGCAACAGAGTGAGACTCTGACTCGATAGATAGATAGATAGATAGATAGATAGATGATAGATAGATAGATAGATAGATAGATAGATAGATAGATAGATAGATAGATAGATAGATAGTAAATAAAAGATGGAGGATGAGGGCCCACCTTTCTGCCTTCTCTTCCCATTGGGCCAACATTGGCTCTTGAGTTGTAACTTTAGGAGTACAAGAAATGTCCCCTACCCAACCCTGCCAGTCCATTCATTTCTTCCATAATTCGAGAAGCAGTGTAGTGCTTCAGTTAAACACTTGGGTGCTAGAATGAGACCACCCAGCTTCACTCTTCAGCTCACCACTCACCAACTGTATGACATGGACGAATGACTCAACTTTCCATGCCTCTGTTTCCTCAGCTGTAAAATGGAGCTGATAGTATTGCCTTTCTTACAGGGTTATTATGAAATAGTAGGCCTGACATATTATTACCCTTCAGGGGCCTTCATTTTATTGAAGGAGAAAGGCAGACATTTTTGGCAATTATCATATAGTGAGTGTGGTTGGTGCTATGAAAGAAGTTGTGGACATTTTCAACTTAGATTTTCATTCCTTTTTTCAGAATATAACATGAGTGGTTAATAGCAAGGACTTTGAAGCCAGACCTGAATTTAAATCCAGATTCCACTAGCTAACTGACCTTGGACAAGCTATATAACTTCTCTATGTTTCTCCATTTCTGATATGAATAAAGTCGGATGAAAATTTTATATAGTCCCTAGCATATAGTAAGCCTTCAATAAATCATGACCATTACTATTATTATTTCTATTATTAATAAAGTTTAATCCCCAGGAAATATATATGTATAAAGTTTGATCCTTAGTAGCTATTTATACTTTGTTTTGATGAAATGAAGGAAGACAAGAAAGGCCTGGATCAGCAAAGGAGGTTCAGAAAGGGTAACAAGGCCACTAAAAGCCACTGCACATCTTTCAGGAAGAGCTCTGCCTGTGGGTGCCATACTTGTCTCCTGATGCCTTTTCTACCTGCAAGCTCATGCTGTCTCAGTGAGGAGATAGGAGGCTCAGGACTGGACCAAATGGGCTCTCAAGCCAGCAGGGGCAAAGCGTGCAGTGGACACCCATGAGCAAGATCTGCCCACTGGAGAAGGGCACTGTGCCAAGTCTGGTGCATGGAACACACACCCTCTGGGTGTACGTCCTTGTCTTCTGTGCAGCATAGCAGGCACCTGTGCCACTGCAGCCAGCCCAGTCCTGCCATTGTCCAAAAAACTACTACTAATACCTGGCGCACTCAGATCCACCTCACAGGGGCCAAAGGAGTCCAAGAATTTTGAATATTAGGTTAGAACATAAACAAGACACTGGTTCCATGCCAGGATACAATGAGACATCATCCTATAGTCCAATACTGCAGGGGTTTTCACATCCTCTGAGGTTGGAGTCAGAAGGCATGAACAAAAACTGGGGCAGTGACCTGTCCCATCCCCTCCTCTCCCCCCATCTTTTTTCTTCAAGGCCCTACCAGCCTCCTCCCATTTCCTGAAGTCTTTTACAGCAGCCCCAGGGGCTCCACTCCCTGCCTCATCTGCCTCTCCTTGAAGGAGGATCCTTTCCAACACAACCTGCCAAAGCCCCCACCTTGGTAAAGCCACCAGCCAGCTGGACTCTTCCAGACAGCTCATGCACTCACACCCTGAGGCTGGGAGTAGAGGATGGCACTATGCCAAGCTGCAGCTGGGAAGAGACTGGCAACAAAAGGGACTGATTTGGGTTGGGAACAAAACAGACTCCAATCCAGGGCACTGGACGAAGCAAAGACAATAGCATTTGCTCAACTGCCAGGGGCTTTTGGCAAGAGCCAAGTTTCTTTCCACTTTATTAATTCCCTTCAGGAGGGATAAGCCAGGGCTAGGATCCTGAGCAGCACATCCCCTGGGAGAGGCCCTAGACAGGATGCCAGAGTCTGTGCAGCCCACACCAGAGCCTTCCAGCCTCCCAGGCTTCCTAAGTCCGTATTCCCCAACCAGCGCCCATGGTCACAACTGTATTCCACCTAAGCTATGGCTGTCATCTCCCTGGTTACTCATCCCCAAGTTTCCCTTGCAGTGCAGGCTCCAGGTGTCTACCCCAAATCCTCCCTACTATAGCAAGGAGTCTGCCTTCTCTGGGTCTTCCCTGGTGAGCAGGAGCTAGAAATGCTCCGGACTGTTCCACACTGTGAAGAGCTTTTTCCTGATCTGTGTAAGGCATCCCTTTATGGTATGGGACCGAATGATCTTCCTCCAAAGATTCCTGGGTTGGTTGGGCATGGTGGCTCATGCCTATAATCCCAGCATTTTGGGAGGCCTAGGTGAGAGGATTGCCTGAGCCCAGGGCTTCAAAGCCAGCCTGGGCAACTTGGTGAGACCTCATCTCTACAATCAATCAAAAAATTAGGCAGACATGGTACCACATACCTGTAGTTCCAGCTACTTGGAAGACTGAGGTGGAAGAATTGCCTGAGCCCAGCCGGTCAATGCTGTGGGGTGGCTGTGAGTGTGCCACTGCACTCCAGCCTAGGTGACAGAGTGAGACTCCAACTCAAAAAAAAGAAAAAATTAACCCTTGGTTGTTAGTGAGAAGAGGTCATAGTATAAACTATAATGCACAAAATCTGTGAGTTGGATGGAGTTTGAAACAATTTTTTTTAGTGGCAATTTTTTTCCCCAATATTTTACTCAGATGGAAATTAAAGTGAATTGACATCTTCGTAATAAATCCCCCAAAAGGAGGAGGGTGCTGGTGCAGAGAGGGCTGGGAATAAAGAGTTGACGATGGGAAAGAAATGATTGACAAAGTGAATAATGGAGAGTTATTAGACTCCCCCTAATTTCTTTAGGTCATGTTGATGACTAGGGGTAATGGTCATGGGAATGAGAAGATTCTTAAAATCTCAGATTGACAAAAGACCTTAGAGGTCATCCAGTCTGGCCACTGAGACTGCAAGAGAGAAAGAAGGACTGTCAATTTTCCAGGAACAATAAAGAAAATTGTCACATGTGTATCAGAAGGAGGAAAACAGGGGCTGTGGTTGAATGTCTAGGTTTTGTTTCTTTTGTTTTCCCATGGTTTGATTGAGGGGAGAGGTAGCCCTCAGGACTTCTGGCCCCAATAAACGTTTATGAAGGGTGTGTTGGTCCCCCTAGTGAAGGGACTTCGTGGCTAGAAAACCACTCTGAAAGACACTCTGCTAATTACAGGAAAATCGACTCTCCCTCGCCGGAGTTTTTCTTTCATCTGAATGTATTCTATAGGAACACTGCTTCTGTACCTCTGTTCTGCTGACGGAGAAAGAAGCCCTCTCTCTGGGAGCAAAGCCCCCAGCTCTGTCAGGCATGGATAAAACCCTTTCTCCCCCTTGTCCTTCTGCTTGCCTGCTCCCCAACAGGGTCTTTGCATCACTAGGCTGAGGGGCTGGGAAACAGCTCGCTCCCAGCCTTCAATGGCTCTAAAAGAAAGAGCCATTGACAGAGCTACTTGGAATGGGAATGGGGTAGAAAGTGAAAGGGAGGGGGGATGAGGGAATGACATTAAACTCTGCCTTCAATGCAGAATGGAGTGGCGTTCAGGTGGTGTTGTGGCTACTGATCCGGGCCTCACAGGAGGGCAACTGAATGATGATGGGCATTTGGCCCACGAGTGACGGCCAGAGGTGACAGAGGAGAGCAGATGGAGAACACTTGCTTGAGAGTGATTTTTGGGGAGAAAGCCTTTACAAGGGTAACCAGAAGTTGCCTACTTTACAAAAAAACAAGGGAACGAGCACAGGGATTTTGTTTAGGAAGATCTTGCTACAATGGATAATTTCAGAGACAGAGTTTTGTGTTCTTTTGTTTTTGGAGTCAGAGTCTCACTCTGTCACCCAGGCTGGGGTGTAAGGACACGATCACAGCTCACCACAGCCTTGATCCGGGCTCAGGTGATCCTTCCACCTCAGCCTCCTGAGTAGCTGGGACTACAGACATGTGCCGCCACACCTGACTAATGTTTTTTTTTTTTTTGAGTTGGAGTCTCACTCTGTCGCCCAGACTGGAGTGCAGTGGCACACTCCTGGCCACTGCAGCCTCAACCAGCGATCCTTCCGCCTCAGCCTTCCAAGTAGCTGGAACTACAGGCACGTGCTACCATGCCCAGCTAATTTTTGA